GCCCTTCAAAGCACACAGCTTTGAGACCTTCAACGCACACAGCTTTGAGCTCTTCAACGCACACAGCTTGTCTCACACATAGACACTCAGGGGTTTATTTACTAAAGCTGGAGAGTCCAAAATCAGACTCCCTTCTGCATAGAAACCAATCAGCTTCTAACCTCAGCTTGTTCAATGAAGCTTTGGCAATGAAACCTGGAAGCTGATTGGTTTCTATGCAGAAGGGAGTCTGATTTTGGACTCTCCAGCTTTAGTAAATAAACCCCTCAATGTCAGCTACTGCACTCCCCTCCCCTTGCAACTCGCAGCAAACCATCATTATATGGGCGGTGAGCACCTGGGCCCACACCCTGCTGGTTGACTTCAAACACTGGACACTGGATTGGACATTTCTTCCCTCCCAAGGCACTTTGAAATCTCCAGACTATGGAGCCCCATCCAGAAATATCAAAATCTGGAGAAACCTGCAACAGCAGTTTTCTCCAATCAAAATCTATACTCCACAATTCTGTACTTCGCACATGTTCAGACCCTGTGTCCATTACCAAACCACTTCTACCTGTTTTTATCCTGTGACCGTGCCATGCACTGTTACAATATGTTTGTTATTTTAATTTTCAAAAATTAAAGCTTTTAAGAAAAAAAAAACCTACCTGGCTCCCAACTTAATTCTAGGAGGCACGGTTTACCAGGTCTCACTATTGCACCCCGGGAAATCTGGGGACTTGAAATCCAATGAGAATGCACCCCTGTACTTGAAGGGTGTGTATACACATGGGGATTATGGGCCCCAAGCTATACCAGATGAAACAGTGAGGCCCAATGCTGTCACCCTCATAACAACAACATAGAAATAGGACTGACATACATACATTTTTATTTGGTTTCTTTAAAACTATATTTTTAAACACCTTTGTAAGTGAACTGATTACTACTAGTGCAACTCATTATAGGATGAATTAAAAAAAAAACAGGGGTTAGTATTGTTTTTTGTTATATTGTAATAATCTATAAAGACAAGTAGAGATTTGACAGTGGTTTTCTTACTGCCTTTGTTTTTTTACCATATGTTCTATGAGTTAAGCAGTAGCTTATTTAGCAGGAGATTAATCATGCTGCATTACAAAAAAAAACAAAAAAACAGCTTATATGTTTTTTCTATATGAGGCTCTGCTTGCATTTCTTACCTATAAGGTGGATTGGAAAGGACTTTGAAGGTGAACACGCTCTTCTTCAGAAAATCAATCAATCAGTGTATGGATATCATAGGAAGATTTTGGAGGGTTGTTGCTTTTAAAGGGATGAATTTGTAAGTTGATTACTTTGAAATCAGTTGAGTTTTAAGGACTCTATCAGGAAAATGTATTCTTATAAATGTATGTGTTTGATACAAAGGAACAGAAGACCTGCAAAAGTGACAGTGACAGGGATGGCATAAGCTATAACACTGTCAGGTTTGCTGGAGCACTTGCAACAACAGATTTTTTTAAAAGATTTTTCAGAACATGTGAATGAAAGGCTGATGCACCGCTGACAATTGTATAGATTGTCCAACCTCTGTCACGTTTCCGTTTGCTGAAAGGTTGATCTGCATGTAAATGTGGTAAAAAGTATAAAATAAAACACGTGAAAGGAAGGAATGGTGCACTGAACAATGCCATTGCATGCATTAGTTACATACATTCATAGTTCTCTTTTAGGAAAAACTCAAGTCCTGTCAGGCTAGATTCATATTGTTCATTGAATGCATCAAGCATGCTAAATACATGTGTATACTGTATGTGAATGGGCCCCTAAGTCTTTCTTTCACACTAAACTCCAGCAATAAAAGTGAACCAACCCTATAGGAATTGTAGCGCCACCCTCAGAGGAGCTGCTGAATTGTTTTGTAATTTTGCTGCGCTCCTTCAGCAGTAACTCGCACACCTTGAGGTATTTCAAATAATTCATTAGGCCAAGAACAACCTAAAGGGAGAAATGACCAGCAAGTGTACGTATACAAACAATCAAGAAGACAATAACATCACTCTGAGAGATATGGTTACATACCTGCAGTATTCTAACAGTAATTAACCACTTGACTACCGGGCACTTTTACCCCCTTCCTGCCCAGGCCAATTTTCAGCTTTCAGTGCTGTCTCACTTTGAATGACAATTGGGCGGTCATGCAACACTGTACCCATATGAAATTTTTATCATTTTTTTCACACAAATATAGCTTTTTTTTGGTGGTATTTAATTGTCACTTTGTGTTTTATTTTTAGCACTATAAACATCAAACAAGGTAATCTGTTGCTTGCTGTGAACTGTAGTTTTGTTTTTCATTATTCACTGGCCATTGTCACAAAATAGGGACTGTTCTAGCAAGTTATGGCTGTCTTTATATACTGTTGCTAGCAGGGGCGGACTGACAACTCATGGGGCCCCCGGGCAATAGGGGATCATGGGGCCCCTGTGTCCTTGCCCAAACTCAAAAAAGTCTATGAAAAAGGTACCAGGGGCATCTCATGGGGCCCCCCCTACTGACCCCGGGCCCTCGGGCAGTGCCCAAGTTTCCAAATGATCAGTCTGCCCCTGATTGCAGAGGATATAATGGCAGCAGCAGTTGCTGATCAGAACTCTTCTTCTGTGCAGCAACTTATTAGATAGCTCCAGCAAATTCTGACCACACGCCACTGTTCTCCCTTCACTGCAACCTTGCTCAGTCGCAGCTGCTGAGCACAGGAAAATATTTGCAGCAGCACATGGTCCCCACATTCGCTTCCTACCTGCATTCTGCCAGCTGGTGCCAAAACAGAGATCCCTTTTTCCAGCAGCTTAGTTCACCCCCCCCCCCCCCCCCTTTGCTCTGTTGCATCAGTAATCATTGTCCTCCTCCAGGCTTGATCCACCTAGCCAAGATAGCTGCCCCTGCACTGGAGACACTCCATAGACAAACATTACAATGTAGTGTCCTTAAACATGGCTGCTGCACTTCTGCATTAATATACAGTTTATCCATGCCCACACTGCAGAAGAATAATACAGCAGGAACAAAGGAAGACGTTCCACAGCAGTTATCAGCTGTGGTCTAAGTTACAGAACGAATGTAATTTCTACTTGAAATGCCTTTCCATAGATGAGGTTTGCTGCATCAAAATGGACTAAGGTAAATAAGACCTATTTTTTTTTAAATTTGCTTCCTCCTTATAGGTGCTGCATAATTGTGTGTCTAAATCTATTTCTTTACTGCAGGCCTTCCACGTGGGATCTGTCTTGGTGAAAACAATAGACTCCACAGTTGCTAAACACATGCATACATACATACTGTACATGCTCCTGGTAACCAAGAACTGTGTGCTTCAGAGTTTTTTTTATGTGATATGAGGAAGCTTGGGAGCTGCATATTTTTATTCATGACAAGCCCGGTACTTTTTTATTTAAAACAATAATATAATTTGATAATGCTGACACATGCCCTGCTTTAGTGATAAATGTAACCTCAAATTCATCCTACGACTACTAAAAGAGGCTGCTCTGCACCTGAATGATTTCTGTTGGCTTGTGCAATATATTATGTTATTATTTTTGAGTTTAGTGCCTGTCCCTTGAGGGTTTGATTTTTCTGAATAAACAGTGATTGGTTTCTTCATTCAGGTAAGCGCTTGTCATTGTGGCATATAAATAAACTGTCCTATTCCCAAATTGGCAGTCAAGCTCCAGGATCATTTTTAGATTGAAAGATGGATGCATCTGCATGATTGATGAATCCTTTGATTTCCATTATTACATTCTGTATATTTATTGGATTATTTATTGAAGACAGCAGGGGCTGCTTAATTTGCTTTAACATTTTTTTTTCAATGCCACTCTTTTTCTTTGTTTTTCTTGTAATAAACACCAATATTATTAACAGTACAAGGTGTCCGCCGATCTTTACCTGTCACTCTTTGTCATCTATTTGATAATTGTATGTACCCTTGTCCTGATTTCCACAGGATGTCAACTCCTGATGAATTATAGAGCACACGCCTTAGAAGTCCTTTTGTAACCTTTTCTAGCTTCCAAACTTTTATTCTCTTAGGTGTTCTACAATCCCCTTGTACCCATGTGTTAAAAAACAAAACAAAATGTAGTATATTACAACTTACTGATCTTTAAATGTGGTGGCTGCATTTGTTTTCTTTAGTTGGTTTTTTTCCTTTATACTCACCTGGTGATTTGGTTGGTAACACATTTCTTATTTTAGGGTATCCCCACTTTGGATGGAGGAGCAGCAGAGACGCCTTTGGACAGCAGCATTGTCAAGCTGGGTAGCTTTAGGTGCACAAGCAGATTTAGATGGACTTGACTAACAAATTAAAGCTGAACTCCAGCTAACACTTTTTAAGCAGTTACAGTAATTTATTTTTCCCTTTTGGGATAAAGGTTTTACATAAATTAATAAAAGCACCCCTGTCAGTGTTAAATGGTTTGTCTCAATCCTCTAACTGCTACTTTGGTTGGACAGCTTGGGCTATTAAAGGAAGTTGAAAAATAAAAGACTGAGAAAAGGGTATATATCAACCAGTGGGTTCATTCAACAACAAAAAACAAAAACCTCACCAATTCCTGCATGCACACAGGTGATGTGGATTGTGCTCTATTGTATACTGACAGGGGGGGGGGCCCCATCAAAATACACTGTTCAGCACTGCGACCATTGGCTGCAGATGCTCATGAAATTTTGGTTTTCCAAAAGGATAGTTTGTCAGAAGCCAGTTGGACAGGATTCTGTTGAACAGGCAGCAGTACACAGTGGTATATGTATATCCAGCTTTACTGGGCATATCAACAGGTAAAAAATGAAGGAAAAAAGCCTAAAAAAGTAAAACTAATGTAGCCACCACTAAGAACTGGTAAGCTATTTAAAGTGTTACTAAACCCACAACAGTAAAATCAGTCTGTATATGCAGTAAAACATGCTTTTTATACTCACTGTGGAACCTAAGGGGTTAATCATCTGTATTGTGTAAAAAGGCTGTTTGATCCTGACTTCTCTGATCCTTCCCTTCTTCCAGTGTCCTCCTCTTATCTCCTGATAAGACATATCATGGTGAGTCACTCTGCAAATGCTCAGTTTGGTGTTTAATGCTAGAGAGGTTTTTTTTCTTGGGAGAGTACTGTGATCAGCACAGGGCCAATCAGCACTGTCCAGACAGAGGTCAGGGGTTCTGCATCCTCCTAGAGAAAATGAAAACTCCTCCTACAAGCTTTAACCCGTGCTTGGCTGGACACTGGTAGAAGTCACAAGACTGCTTTAAATGATGGCTTTAAATGATGATGAGAGAAATGTATTTAGCAGTTTATATTTACTAAACTAATAGCACTTCCATATTCTGTGTACTGTGGGAGACCAGATATAGTGTATGCAGGGTCCTGGGTTTAGTAAGAGAGAAAAAGGAGAAAAGCGCCTCTAAGTGCAATAAGTCTTTTAATTCAAGTCTAAATGTAGAAACACTCACATGTGTGAAGTAATCATAAGCATAAAAACCGTGGTTAACAATAGTTAACGGTGGGGTGGTAACCCGGGTGAAGAGCCGTCATCTTACTGCGATGTGGGGAGGTCAGCTCTCGGCTGGAACAGCGTGGTGGCTGGAGGGGGAACAGCGGTGAGGCCGGCCTGCATGCACGTCCTCCCTCAGAGCCGGATGGAACGCACGCTGAAACGTAGCGGCGGCGTGGCCGTGATGATGTCAGATCCCAGGGTGCACTGTGACGCGTTTCGGAGCATGCACTGGCCGTGGAAGGCGAAAGTGCACTCCTTTTTCAAGCAGCAAGCTTTTACCTGCTTGAAAAAGGAGTGCACTTTTGCCTTCCACGGCCAGTGCATGCTCCGAAACGCGTTGCAGTGCACCCTGGGATCTGACATCATCACGGCCACGCCGCCGCTACGTTCCAGCGTGCGTTCCATCCGGCTCTGAGGGAGGACGTGCATGCAGGCCGGCCTCACCGCTGTTCCCCCTCCAGCCACCACGCTGTTCCAGCCGAGAGCTGACCTCCCCACATCGCAGTAAGATGACGGCTCTTCACCCGGGTTACCACCCCACCGTTAACTATTTTTAACCACGGTTTTTATGCTTATGATTACTTCACACATGTGAGTGTTTCTACATTTAGACTTGAATTAAAAGACTTATTGCACTTAGAGGCGCTTCTCTCCTTTTTCTCATCTACAGAAGTTGCTACAGCTTATTTGGAAGCCTTGCCCTCAGTGCCACACGGAATCCTACGCTCTTCATACAGTAGCCACTAATACCACGATCACCCCATACTACCATTTCCCAGGACTTTGCAGTGTTTGCGCTGTTACAACCCTTCCTCATTTTTCCTGGGTTTAGTAACACTTTAGGTACTGGTAAGTAACATAGTAAATGGTTGTTTTTTGGGATTATTACCACCTTAAATAGAGTAATCCACTGCATTTTTACTTCACCCCCTCCCCTCCTTCATCTTTTTTTTTGCAATGTAACAAACTGAATATGCAGCTTTTCAGTGATCCCTGGGGCGTGAACTTTCTGCATTCTATTCAAATAGGAGAAAACCTGTATGCAGCATATCAAGTTGATAGCAGGCTTTTTGATGAAACCAAGGTCTCATCCAAACAGGCGTACTATAGCAAATGTGAGGGATGTGTTTGCTCACACATGGATGCATAGGTGTTCTATGCACATCTGTCCAGGCAGTCCCATTCATTTTAATTGGAACACATTGGCTGAAATGTCACCATCACGCCAAGGATTTCTCTAAACTGGTCCAAAGCTTTATTTCTTGGTCACATGGTACATACAAAGGCAACATTTCGATGTCATGAAGGGCCCCTTCGTCAGGCAAGGGACTTGCCTAAATAAGGGGCCCTGCATGGCCCTGGAAATTTGGACATGTTTTGAGGAATCCTTGGTGTGCTGGTGACATTTATTTGCATTGAGTGTCTATGGTTCCCATCCTGTGGTCACTGCAACACCCTTCAATACTGAACAGCCATCTTCAGGAACGTGTACATTGGGAATATTGCCATTGGCTGCATGGTCATAGTTGCTGCTCCCAATTTAACATCTGAGTGAGTTGGGGAACGTGTCCCTTAATGCACCCTTTCTGCATTCGGGGCTGCACACCCACACTTGCATGGCTGTCAAGAACAGCCCTCACATGGGTGTACACTATAATACACTCATGTGAACAAAGCCTAAATGGATTACAGGTCAAACATGCACAAACATGGCGCAGGAGCAAGGTTTTGAGGACGTACTTTGTGGCGCCAAGCACGTTGTATAGTGAGGATGACTAAGGAGATGCATTTTAGATATATTTATATTATGTTACACAAATATGGTGGGACTGGGCTCCGAGATAGATAAATGCATTTGTGTTTTAATGCAGGCAGTATAAACCTCAAAGGAACAATATCCTTTTGACAAGGTTCTTTATAGAATTGTTCTACAATGAACTGTTAAACACCCAGGTTAGAAAATGCTATTTTCACATTTGTGCACCCGAGGGATTTTCTCATTTTTGAATGTGAGACAAAGAGATTATCATGGTGAAAGTCTGGGGAGCTGTAATGACAGTACAGTGAGATTTAATAAATATATATAAATAGGATCATTTTTCCTATGGATTGCTGTTCCATTGCTCTGGGAAGCTGTGACACTTTCCTAATCAAAAAAATGTACTTCCAGATGTGATTTGAATCACTTTAATGATAGGGGCTAGAAAAAGAAAAACCCAATAATGATAGATATAGAAGGAGCTCATTGGTACAGCAGCATAGATGGTGATTTAATTCCTACATTGCAGAATTTCTTTTCTACTGTAACATCAGGGTCTTTTTTTCATCAATATGCAATATTCTGTCTCCATGGAAATCTTTGTGAGAAACCAAATCTTGAAGTAGCTATGAAAAAGCACAGATTGCTTTAAAGTTGCAGTTGTTCTTAAATACAAACATGACATTATGTTTTAGCATATTTTTTTTAGCTAAAGTGATGGCAACAGAAAAGAACTATTCAAAACATGAGCCATAATCAGCTTGAAAAACCTATTATTTATCATGTGAAAAACACTGTTACACTTCAGCTCCTTATGCAAGCACAACAATGTATATTTTATTGGGTTACAATATATAGTACTTAAGCAAACAAAAACCAATATCACTGCAAAAAGAGAGAAATATGTTTGATCTGCTTCTGTATTTCTCAACTGCATATTTGCCATTGGGCATCTGCTCACTATCAGGTATTTTATGAAAGCAAGTGGATATGTAACGGAAATAGAAAAGTAAACCCTTGCTGAAATGAACAAGAGGAATTGTGGAAAATGGTGTAGAAGACACATAGGCTGATTTATAGAATACAGAGCACATCACCAGGCATTTCAGTAAAACTAACTACAGGCATTAGTGAGCAGTGGGTCATACATGTGCAATCCTGTGGTCTCAGTTTGGTGTTAATTTACCAAAGGAATAGAGAGTTTTATCTTAGCAAAGTGAATGTTTATTTAAAGTGGAGTTCCACTCAAGCTGTCAAAAAATAAAAGTCAGCAGCTACAAAAACTGTAGCTGCTGACTTCTAAAAAACAACCACTTACCTGTCCCTCGGTCCCGTGGTGTGTCCCCTGCAGCAAGTTTTACCGGCTGACCGGTATTCCAGGAGGCCGGCATTTTCAGTGTGGGCACCGAGCTGTGACAGCTTGCGGCTTCACAGCTGGGTACCCACTGCGCATGCACGAGCAGCACTGCATTTCATGAATGGTACTGTAGTCTTCTGGGACCTGTCACGTGTCCCAAAAGACTACAGGGAGGGAGGGAGGGAGGACACCTTCCGCTTCCAATCGGGAGCGGGTATCTGTCAAATTCAAGTACCAGCTCTCCCCCTACCCCCAAAGGTGCCAATCCTTAATGGGGAGCGGGGGAGCAGTCCTTAAAGTCCTTTTGGGTGGAGCTCCGCTTTAACTTAGTGGTAAAGGTGAACATGTATCCCAGTCAAGCACAAACAAAAATAATTTTTTAATTTCCCTTGTATATGTTTATGCATTCATAGCTTCAACGTATTTACTAAACTATATGAACAGCTGGTATATGTTTAGTAAATCAAGCCAAATGTCTTTTGGGTCACATCTTAATAGGGTTGCTCTAACCCTACTGTTTAGAACATTGAAGGATGAAAAAAAGGATCATATGCAGACAGTCCTGGCCAGGGGCAGACTGACAACTCATGGGGCCCCCGAGCAATAGGGGATCATGGGGCCCCTGTGTCCTTGCCCAAACTCAAAAAAGCCTATGAAAAAGGTACCAAAGGCATCTCATGGGACCCCCTACTGACCCAGGCCCTCGGGCAGTGCCCGAATTTCCAAATGGTCAGTCCACCCCTGGTCCTGGCTTATTTCAGGAGCAAATGTAACAATCAGGCATCTTTTTTAACATGAAATAATGGACAAAGCCACTGAAGAAAAATTCTTGGAGCCCTCATACAACTACTGCTCATATACAATGACTTATTCAAAGGGAATAGATTGATAGAGAGATAGATTGATAGACAGATAGATAGATAGATAGATAGATAGATAGATAGATAGATAGATAGATAGATAGATAGATAGATATGTACAAGGAGTAATCTTTAGTGCACTCTCTCATGGTTCATAACATACAAGGAAATTCTTTCTTGACTCCCTGCCCAAATGGTTTCAATAGGAAACAGGAAAAGCAATTTGGAAGTCTCACTGCTGATCAGGAAGAAAGGTGAATGAGGTGGCCAATGCCCAGCTCCAGTTGGATATTAAAGACCATCATGAAAAGTTCTTCCCACATTTATTTATTTTATTTTATTTCAGGTACTTATATAGCGCTGTCAATTTACGCAGCACTTTACATATATATTGTTCTTTCACATCAGTCCCTAACCCTCAAGGGGAGTACAATCTAAACACATCTCATCTGCCCTGAAGATGAACAGTGTCCAGATCCAGATAACAGTGGCAGGAGGTCTCAGCACCTTCCTAATCCACATCTAGTGTAAATTGGCCATGTGTCCCAGAACAACAGCTGCACAGACTGCACAAATGGTTTGTCTTTCTTGGACAAAATGTCTGATCACTTTGTCATCTAAGAAGACTGTTGGGACTTTGCAGCATGGGTTTAGATTGTCACCCTATCAATGTGAGACTAGCAGTGTCCTGTCTGTTATTTTTTACAATGAAACCACAATTGATTAGAGCATACACTGTAGCAGTTAGGACACAAGCACTAGCTACTATTTATCTGAATTATACTCTTGCTTCCCCATGCATCTGAGAATGATGAGTAAATGGGTACGACACTA